ATACCCCCGTGAAAAAACCTTTAGCTTCTTAACCTGGGCTCCATAAAACATATATACCCCCGTTAAAAAACCTTTAGCTTCTTAACCTGGGTCTCACAAAACATATATACCCCCGTTAAAAAACCTTTAGCTTCTTAACCTGGGCTCCATAAAACATATATACCCCCGTTAAAAAACCTTTAGCTTCTTAACCTGGGCTCCATAAAACATATATACCCCCGTGAAAAAACCTTTAGCTTCTTAACCTGGGCTCCATAAAACATATATACCCCCGTTAAAAAACCTTTAGCTTCTCAACCTGGGCTCCATAAAACATATATACCCCCGTTAAAAAACCTTTAGCTTCTTAACCTGGGCTCCATAAAACATATATACCCCCGTTAAAAAACCTTTAGCTTCTTAACCTGGGCTCCATAAAACATATATACCCCCGTGAAAAAACCTTTAGCTTCTTAACCTGGGCTCCATAAAACATATATACCCCCGTGAAAAAACCTTTAGCTTCTTAACCTGGGCTCCATAAAACATATATACCCCCGTGAAAAAACCTTTAGCTTCTTAACCTGGGTCTCACAAAACATATATACCCCCGTGAAAAAACCTTTAGCTTCTTAACCTGGGCTCCATAAAACATATATACCCCCGTTAAAAAACCTTTAGCTTCTTAACCTGGGCTCCATAAAACATATATACCCCCGTGAAAAAACCTTTAGCTTCTTAACCTGGGCTCCATAAAACATATATACCCCCGTTAAAAAACCTTTAGCTTCTTAACCTGGGCTCCATAAAACATATATACCCCCGTTAAAAAACCTTTAGCTTCTTAACCTGGGCTCCATAAAACATATATACCCCCGTTAAAAAACCTTTAGCTTCTTAACCTGGGCTCCATAAAACATATATACCCCCGTGAAAAAACCTTTAGCTTCTTAACCTGGGCTCCATAAAACATATATACCCCCGTGAAAAAACCTTTAGCTTCTTAACCTGGGCTCCATAAAACATATATACCCCCGTGAAAAAACCTTTAGCTTCTTAACCTGGGCTCCATAAAACATATATACCCCCGTGAAAATAATTAGGGAATCCACGAATTCATATTACGTTACGGGTGCCAGCATTTCAAGGAGGTTCATTTAGCCAAGGCAGTCTAAGACTTCACCTATAGAACAAATTGCCACAGAAGGTTTCTTGGTACCGGCCTAATTTGTACAGTCGGAATCTCATAACTCCTTTAAAATTAAGAGTTCACCTTGTAAATATACCACAGATAGAAACATGACCCCTGTTATAAATATACCACAGATAGAAACATGACCCCTGTTATAAATATATAAACATACGACAGATAGAAACATGACCTCTGTTATAAATATATAAATATACCACAGATAGAAACATGACCCCTGTTATAAATATATAAATATACCACAGATAGAGACATGATCCCTGTTATAAATATATAAATATACACAGATAGAAACATGACCCCTGTGAGTCAAAATATCTTGTCAGAAATTATTATATATTAGACCCATCAAGTCATCACATCTTATTTTGACTTTAAATAATGTCAGCATACAGTTTTTGGAAGAAGGTAACTGGTTGAAATTTAAATGTAAATAATCAGTTTGGCTCGTCAACCTTGCGGTCCCGTGTTCAACGGGATTTCCCCCTTGTTAGTGATGCAGGACAGAGGGTCCGGCAAGGGACAACATATAGACACCTTGACAATTGGAATTCGAAAAAAGAAGGGTCATAGAGCCGTTGTCCGGGGAAAATTTCCCTCATAACACACTATATGGCATATACCCGTATTCAGTAGCCCAGTCTGTGCAGAATAATTGGGTGTTAAATCCAGTTACAATGAAAAACCGAGCCCGAACCGAGCAGTTGGAATTAAATGAGATCCACACGTCTCACGGTATTTGGAATTGGATGATACAGTAGAGTCGGCGTCAAAGTCACTGACTCAACAGAGCAATGTACGTTGATTTCGGATAAAGTTCGTAATGATACAGTAGAGTCAGTGTCAAGGTCACTGATCCAACAGTGCAATGCACGTTCTTAACGTCTACTTCGTCTTCCACCAAGGTTGATATCGCAGACAATTTCGGTCGGGACTAACATGGTTCAATTTTAGTTCAATAAGTCTTTAGCAGTGGGAGGAAACCGGAGGACTCGGAAAAAAATTACGAGGCTGGACAGGCGACCCTACTCCTTGTCACGTACAACCGGGGAATCGAAACCACGCCAGTTGACTCAATGACATACCTAATGATACAACGCGCACGGCTACAGGAAAACAACGTGTGTTTAGCAAAATCGTAAAGAAATACATTTTACTAAGAATTTATAACGTATCTGAAGCCTCTATATAACACAAGACAATGCCATGGTGCAATCCATGTAACTTAATTAATGTTTGATAAAACAATGGGATTTAACGTCCGCGTTCAAATATATTGATATCGCGGACAATATGCCTAATGTCATAGACATTGTCTTAAGCATCCGACTAAATAAATAGCTATTCCATGGGGTATTCTTTCCTGTGGCTTTAATTGATGTAGTGTTAGTAAACTATACAGTCGACCATGGTGGTTTATATACATATTGATATCACCAACAATATGTCTAATGTTATTGACATTGTATCAATTATAGTCGATCAATTATTGCCAATAATGACCCGATTGTTGGTCCCTATCTTTCACTTATCAACACCCCTGCCATTGGTCAATGAGAATCGGAAAGGCAGGACTATCAAAAAGCAGGACTTTGTCAATCGTTTGTTTGCCTTGCACTTGAATCTTGAAAACAAACTGGCGCGCGTTGTCTTATCAGATGATTTTAAACTCCTCCACAATTCAAGCTAAAAGCTGTTGATTATCTGGTGATATGTCCAGGTTAGAGAAACATCTCACTGAGTTATCTCGAGGTAAATTATTCTCTCGTTGGTGGTAACCCGGGTTATATTATAGTGATTGTTGAATTGTCCTGGACGACGACACACTACCTAGGTGATAGAATAATCATCCGTACTCCAGGTAGGAATTCATTATGGTAATTTATACAATGAAAATAAATATATTAAACGCATAGAAAAATAGGACTGAATTCAGATTATACTTGGTTAGGATAATACTTTACCTTGAGTAGTGTTTCGCTTTATTTAAAACGCATATACCATTAGGACTGAATTCAGATTTTTATAGGTTATGGTAGTAATTACATTAAATAATGTCTCACTTTAATAAAAAAAAACGAATTCATGCACATTAGAAAAATAGGACTGAATTCAGATTATAATAGGTTAGGGTAGTAATTACATTAAATAATGTCTCACTTTAATAAAAAAAAAACGAATTTATGCACATTAGAAAAATAGGACTGAATTGAGATTATAATAGGTTAGGGTAGTACATTAAGTAATGTCTCGCTTTAATAAAAAAAAAAACGAATTCATGCACATTAGAAAAATAGGACTGAATTCAGATTATAATAGGTTAGGGTAGTACATTAAGTAATGTCTCGCTTTATATATAAAAAAGATTCGAGACGGTGTTTCGCCTCTAATTAGACCGAATTCAGCCTACATTGGGTTATTGATTGTCATTGTAATCAAAGGGTTTTACTAAACTTAATTAATGTCTCCCTTTATTGAAAAATATTGTTTTTAGAAGATAGAGCTTATAAATGACATGGGATTCCACTTACTGTGGTGTGCTATGAGAAGCATTTTGCCCGGGCAGCGGGTCTATTGTATATTCTTCTTTCAATTCTCAACTGTCAGGATATCTTTAGAATATAAAAAATTTGAAATAATAATTGATTAATTTTAGTAATTTATAGATTTTCAACAATAAATTAAAAAGGTAGAAAAGCGCGAAGGAATTAAGGTTTGTCATATGAAATTCGCTTAATCAAATTTTATTGAAATATTGAAATGCGGGATTGTCAATAATAACATTGAATATTGTAGATAATTAATTGATTTGTCTTATATTAAAACATATAAATATTTATAATAACATGGTGAAGTAAAACATATTTATTAAATCAATATTAAATAATGTAAATATTGGCTTGATGCATCCCCATAGCCTTGGTAAAGTAATAAAACTAAACTGATTGAAAATAAATACATTACAGATATTAGCGGGGTGTTGAATATTTTAATTTGAGATCATAATGATATTTAAAAACAATCGTATGTAATAACTATGAAAACGTAATCACTGAAATAAAACCAACACAATCTGAATATAAGCAGTATATTGTGTTCACTTAACGTTAAACCATAGGTCGCGTTTGCCATGGGATAAATGTGGCTTTAGCTTCCAATCTATGAACATGAGATAAAATAAAATGATATGGGGTTTAACGTACTATTGTTCTGCTCCAACTGGACTAATAAAGACGAGAATACGTCATATAGTGTGCTATGAGTGACATTTTACCTGGACAGTTGCCAAAGAGTCCGTATACGTGCACGCCAATATGTGCACGGAACCCCGATCTGTCGTCCCTTCCTCATGTCGGGGCCAATACCAGCATCAAACACAGGACTTCTGACTACCGAACTGTCGTCTTACTGACTGGGCCACGGCGGCTCCCTCTCTATGATGAGTAATTATTTTCATGGACTGTAGAAGTCCGTCTTTCCTTGAATATAAATTAGTATAGCCGGGTTTAAATCCATGCTCAAGGCGTCACTGGTGTTCGTGTAGTGGTAGGATATGCATACAACGCAGCCTTAACATTTTAAGAACCTTATGGGAATTCTCAAAACAACGATATTTTTTTATTTCTGTATAGTATTACAATCAAGAAATAAGATCTCCAGAAAGATTAACAAAGAAATATTTTCAGAGATGGCTGTTCAATCAAGCTGTCATTCTACCCATTCTGTAAGAGATGGATATTCTACACATCACCAAGATCACCATGGGTACACATCGCGGACGGAAGTTTTACAGTGGCCAACAGAACCACAACACTATCGACATCAACATCATCATCGACAACCATCTTCTGATCATCTGAATCAAAAACATCACCGTCACCCCCTACAGGATGACTTACATCAACAGCATCACCAACACCCTTCTCCAGGTGACCTGCATCATTCTTCACGCCGGCAACTTTCTCCGGATGACTTGCATCCTCCTCCTCCTGATGACCACTGTCAGAAACATCAGAACGCGGGGGAACAGAAACAAGGCACCCTAACCAGGATCAATTATGGTAAGTTTTCCCTGTCTTGAATATGAACCATTCTACGTCTACTATTATCAAGCTTAGAATAAGATTAGATTAAGATAAGACTTAAATTTTGTTTCGTATATTTTTTAAGATTATTCGGGATGGGGTGGGGTCCCAAGCGCAACTCATCTCGTTTGTTTTTGTTCTTGTGTCAACGCTCTTCTATAAAAGCGGTGTTGGCTGGTCGGATGATTTAATACCGGGCACTTTAGATGATGGGATCTGCCATTGACTCAGGTAACGTGATTTCAATTCCCAGCTTGTTCGTGACAAGGAATAAGGTCGTCTGTTCATCCTTGTTGTTTTCGGGTCCCCCGGTTTCCTCCCACTGCTAATGACCTCTGCGTTCAATCGAATTATTGAAATAAAATTGAAATATATGTTAGTCCCAAATTGACATTGTTTGTGTCAAATGGACGTTAAACCCCATCTCTCTGACTGACTTCGAATTTTAATATCACAATTCTAAGATGGATGTGATGACGTCATCCTCGGTTCCTGGTTGATAGTACGCACGTGCTTGTTACAGAACATTGTATAAACCGCGTTCTGTACAAATCAAGGACGGCTGGTCTTAGAAGGATTAGCGCCTAGTCGTTCGGATGGTACAAAAAAACACACCATAGATCACGTTGGCGTACAATTAAAAAGCCCTAATAGTTAAAATTAGAAATGCCCCGTAGGCATTACTGTTGACTAGTGTGAACCTGGCTTGAACTAAAGTATAGAATGATCATCGACTAATGTAAACAGGGCTTGAACAAAAGTATAGTATGACTAACTTCATTGAATGATAAGAGATAAAGAGAAGTCGTGCCCTTAGAAAGCTACTCGAGTACTCGACGTCAATCTTATCAAATCATTTATTTAATCCTGTTTACCTGTAGATTAACGTCTATCTTTATAGTCAACATTTACCTGTGTGATGTTTGTATGATTTACCTGAAACGATTGAAACAAGGTGTTAATTAGTTAATTAACCTGTTAATAGCTAGTTGATGTCTTTACCTGTTGAATAAAGGAATATAATCATTTAATTACAAGTCAATATTTATTTCTATTATATTCCATGTATCTGACTTTTAAACCATTGTAGGGATGTCATTCGTGTTCAGGGAATCACGTAGTCGGGGCAGAACAGTTGGACCTTAAATCCCTTTTTATTCCATTTCCCTCCCTTCTCTTGAAATAAAGAAAGTCACCAATTCCACCATTAAACTAAGAAATGACGTAGATCTGTGTGAATTCGTCCCTGTATAAACATGCGATATACATCTAAGAAATGACGTAGATCTGTGTGAAATTCATCTCTGTATAAAATATAAACATATGATGTACATAAAAGAATCAAATTATTTTAACATTATTTTATCTGTGTGTACCAGTAATAAAAACAATATTTAAAGTGAATTAATTGTTTTATAAAATATATTTCAGAAGAGAAAGAAATAGAGGAGAAAGAATCTATTGAACCAACCCAGAAACACTCCCAGATAGCAGCCACCTTGAACTGGTAATCTCGTCTTATTTCATTTGTGGAGATGATTTAAAAGTAATCTTGAAACGAGACAAAATGTCCTCACTCCCAACTAAAAAAATGTCCACATTTACAAAACTGAGAAAACTATGTTGTCATAAAAATAACTTAATTCATACTTTTCGAATGTCTTGATCGGATGTAAAATTGCATTTGATTAAAGTAAAAAAAATAATGATTTGGAATCGGTCATCATATTAAGGTTGGTGTCAAATAATTTGAACAGGGTTCTCGATCTGTTAGAATTAAGATATGTGTCCTGAACTATCTGATAAATTGTTAAAAGATGTCGCGTCACATAAAATGATTTTATATCAGGTTTTCTAACTCGTGAATACGTGATTGTCTCCGTCTTCATTAGCCCAGTCGGAGCAGAACAGTAGGACGTTAAACCCCATTTCATGTCACGTGATTATCTTCAGATTTATGTTACATACACGAGATAAAAGATGGTGTGATCACGGCCATTTATTTGACTTCTGAACTAAATTATAGAAATTAGTCCCAACAATTGTTTTCTCTTACTTTAGGTTAAATAAGAATTAATTAAATTAGTTACAACACTTTTGATGACATGCGTGATTTTCAGATTAAATGAATTTTGTTATTTTTATTTTCGGTTAAATGAAGTTTATATGGATTTTAATGAGTTCCACTGTTGGTAGTTTTGTCTATGTTCAGGGTAAATGATAGTTATTACAGATCAGGTGTTTTCTATATTCAGGTTAAATGATAATTATGAAAGATCAGGTGTTTTCTATGTTCAGGTTAAATGATAATTATGAAAGATCAGAAGGGGTGTGTCTACCAAGATGTGTTCTCTATACACATTATTTAGATTTCTGTAAAAAAAATTCTTTCCACCCGGCTGGTGCGGCTACATTTGGAAAGGTTGGTATCACCCAAATCACAGATTGGGGCGGGGCCAGTTTATATTTTCTAAAATGTATAATAAAATGATCATTTGTAACACGCTAGAATTCACAAAGCATAACTGTATTGTGCATGCTGAATTCTCGCTTGTTCTGTCTCTGATCGACAGTTACAAACCAAAAGCATTTCTTCGTTTCTAAATTCAAGGACATCGAAACTTAGTTACGAATCAATTGAATGTATTTTCTTTATAAATGTGATTCCTCGGCCGTTTGGCGACATTTCTTGTTCATTCTATTTTTGCCTTTTATCTAAAAACTGTCTTAATTTAACTTTGATTACCTGAAGTCTTGAAACACAGTAAACACGTTGATATTTTAATAATTCTGACTACACATTTTAAATGACTTGTTTTTATATTTAGATTATAAGACAGAAATTTCCCAAGATAACAACACGTCGACTGGGTACGAGAGGACAATCTAAGTAAGTATCATAGTATTAACTTTTATATCAGTAGTTGGAGGAAAGGTAATATTACACATCGGTGAAGAAGAAAAGGCTTCAAGAGGACCATAGTATCAACTTTCATATCTGATATTAGACGAGTATATTCTGTCACATATCATAGTATCAACTTTCCTATGTGACATTAGACGTGTATGTTCTGTCACATCAGTTATCTGAGAAATGTGTCTGTAATGTAACATTAAACGAGTGTGCTCTGGCTCATCGGTAGTTCTGAGAAGTGTGACCTTGGAATTACCAAATCCTCGCTTCACCTGGAGTACGTGTATAGAATGAGCATGTTTCTACCATATCAAGGCTTATTACCAGAATATCCACACATAATAAATCTATCTATGTTTCTCTAACGGGGTGGTAAAATATGGACATATTCTATACATATCTGTGCATTTCGACTTCATATACATTTTCAAATACATTTTCTTCCTTATATTTGCGAAAATTGGCACCGTATCCACAATACGCCTGCCGTCAAACGACAAGCATTGAATGAACATGTTCTAGAATTGACAAATGTACGAAAGCCCAGAAGGCTCATTCCAAATTCCAGATTCCAGATTCCAAATTCCAGATTCCAAATTCCAAATTCCAGATTCCAAATTCCAAATTCCAAATTTGCTGCTGTAGCAAAAAAAAAAAATGCCAGTCCTAGGATACCGAGTAGCAGAGTAGCTCAGTGCAGAGGAACTTTGCCCCAAACTGTTCACATCTGCCGAAGCAAACCCGAACTGGAATATTGTTATTATACTCTAACTGATTGGGGGGGGGGGGGGTGGCCGAATGGTTAGCACGTGCTTGCTATATCATACGGCCTGTCATTGAGTCAACTGGCGTGGTTTCGAATCCCCGGTTGTACGTGACAAGGAGTAGGGTCGCCTGTCCAACCTCGTGGGTTTTTCTCCGGGTCTTCCGGTTTCCTCCCACTGCTAAAGACCCCTACGCGCAAGCGAATTATTGAAATAAAATTAAAACCATATGTTAGTCCCGAAATGACATAGTTTGTGTCGAGTGGACGTTAAACTCCGTTTCTCTCTCTCTCTCTCTAACTGATTAGTCAAAAGCAAAAACCTGATCCGATTGGTCGGATCAGATTTGGAATTTGGAATTTGGAATCTGGAATTTGGAATTTGGAATCTGGAATTTGGAATCTGGAATCTGGAATTTGGAATCTGGAATTTGGAATCTGGAATTTGGAATTTGGAATCTAGTAATTTGGAACGGGTAATTATCCGGCCCAGATAGGTAAACTAGAAGTAATTAGTTGTGTAAAATAACAATTTATATAAATCCTAATTTGTTTAATTGAGGGGGCGGGGGGGGGGGGCTGGGAATTTGCTATTTTATCGGTAAGACATGAATTTGGAATTTGGAATTTCGCATTTGGAATTTGGAATTTGGAATTTCGCATTTGGAATTTGGAATTTCGCATTTGGAATTTGGAATTTCGCATTTGGAATTTGGAATTTCGCATTTGGAATTTGGAATTTGGAATGAGCCTTCTGGGCTTTCGTACAAATGGGCATCATAGGAATATTGACGGATATTGCCACATACGTCCTCAATAGTCAAATAACAAACATAAACTGAATCACAGATATCACTGTTAGGGTACAGGTATAACAGGTATAGCCTGTATTAATATTTGCAGGTATCATTATTATGGTATAGGTATAAAAGGTGTAATATTTTACAGGTATCATTATTATGGTATAGGTATAAAAGGTGTTATATATTACAGGTATCATTATTATGGTATAGGTATAAAAGCTGTAATATTTTACAGGTATCATTATTATGGTATAGGTATAAAAGGTGTAATATTTCCAGGTATCATTATTATGGTATAGGTATAACAGGTGTAATATTTTACAGGTATCATTATTATGGTATAGGTATAAAAGGTGTAATATTTTACAGGTATCATTATTATGGTATAGGTATAAAAGAATCGTCTATTTATTATCATTCTGTTTATTCTGGACGAGGACTCACAAGGTTGGTAAATATTTAAATTATGTTATAAAATATAAATAGTGTGTATAATTAATTTTCTTTATATCTGATTGTCTGATCCATCTTCATCCAATTGAAATAAAATATCGTTTAAACAAGAAGATATAAACCTTTATTCATATTGGTGCTTATGAATTTTAATAACTTATTAATATTATTGTTGTTCGATTTATATAGCGCTTCATTATATCTTTTTGATATAATATCATATATCATATTGAGAGTAGGGCCCAGGGTTCAATACACCATGTATTTGATATATCACTTTGAGAGTAGGTACCAGTATAGAACACACCTTCTTTTAAATGAAATATTCATTCTTTAAATACCAGTAGATTTTATACAACGATTTAAGAATCTTCTTTTGAAAATATCAGATCTTTTAAAATTATTTTTTTTATAAAAACAGATTTTCTGGAACCAAGATGAAAACGGAGGTGAGTATTTGTTGTAAACATATTTTATTAAATACAGTACAAAAAGACTGGGACAAATGCTACGATAACTTACTGATGACCCCCACCCCAAGTTTATTATAATTGACAATTATCAGGGGCGGATCAATGGGGGGGGGGGGGGCTACTCAGCTACATAAAAAAACAATTGTAAAATTAAAACAACACTTTTATGAGAAAGTGTGACGGTTGTGTGCCTTATCTTTTATCATCAGATGGTGGCATGGGATGGGCATTTAAAGCGCGAGATAATGATATAGACATATGTGATATCACAATTAATGCTATGCATCAATGAAATTGAATCACAATGTGATCATAACAATTCAAAATAAAAATTGACTTTCTCTCTTTAAAAAGTGGAGACGATGATGGCACCATGGATTGTCAACTGTCAAATTTCTGTAACAGGAACCTGGTAAATCTCCTCCTTCAAAATGATTGGAAGATATAAATGTTGTAATGAATGTAAAATTCTTATTCGATTTATGAAAGTAATTTTGTATATCCAAAGAATCCCAGTGTCTTGTTTTTGAATTCAATAAGAGTATGATCTCTTCCAAGTTCTGATATTTTTGAATTCAGTAAGAGTATGATCTCTCCCAAGTTCTGATGAATCGATGATATATGGCAATAAAATATCAAATATTTTAAATCCAAGTAAAAAGTGAAATAAAATGGGGTTCAACGTTATACCTTACTGCTCGGTCCCGGCAAGAGCTAATAAAGTGAGAGAGAAAGAAAGAGAGAGAGACAGAGGGGGAAAGAGGAGAAACAGACAGACAGACAGACAGACAGAAGGGGTGCGAGAGATATTAAATTCCACTCGACACAACCTATATCATTCCGGGACTAACATATGGTTCGATGTTATTTAAATACTTCACTTGCTTGCTGACCTTGCAAACTAAAGTGTACACCTAAGACCATTCAGTTGACATGTCTATAGAGTATATTGAATCCAGGTAAATACAGGTGAGAAGTGAGGTTTAATACGTGTGGTATTTATCAACTATTTTATTATAATCAGCTAGATCTGATAAACACGGGACTTATCTCTCTTTCAATCCGCCATTGTTTGTATTATTGGAGACGAGTAGAATCAATGGCGGTGATAAATGAGCAACTCTAGTGACATGTACACACAAACTTACCACGTAACACGCACTCAATTTATCTCACAGACTCGGTTGTCAAGGAAAATGGACACCCATTGCGTTATAGTTTTACTTTGATGTTGAGGTGACGTTGATCTGTGATATCGGTTATTATTTTTGTTTTAATTGTACAGATATCATACAGATGTACTATATAAAATGAGATGGGGTTTAACGTCTCTGCATCGACTGGACTATAAACAGGCATACGTATTACACGGGCCTGTCCGGAAGACCATAAAAACAAAAACAATTGTAGTATTTATGTGAATGCCATACATGTAGTTTGTGACCTTTCCCCCCGAGGTTACCGCCTGCCCTGTAGTTTGGGTTTCGGAATTCCAAGTCCACGCTACTGATGAATGAATAACTATTATTTGATTCCAGGGATATAATCGTAAATATTCTCTGAGTTCTAAAACTGGTACTTTATTACCAGAGTTTCCTGATGTTGATAATCTGATACTGGCGACTTCTATAGATAGAGATAAGGTAAGTTGGTTCACAATTCACAACATGGGTGGATCTTATTTCTTCGATCATACAACCCGAACAATACCTTTCTTGTCAGACCTGTAGAATGGTGGGTAAATGTAATTTGTAAATGTAATTTGTAAATGTAATTATAGATGAAGACGTTTATGATGATGTATAGAACACACTGTCAGAGAATACTGGATACAATTATCACTGCTAACTTTGAAGAGGTAAGTGTTATATATTGTTCTATATTACACCTTCAATATGACGCCTTGCTCTACATGACGTCTTGTCCAATATGACGTCTTGTTTAATACACCATATTCAATATGACGTCACGTTCAATATATTTTGTTCAATATGACACCTTGTTCAACATGACGTCGTGTTCAATCAGTTCAGCTGTGTATTTACAAGGATCGGTGGTCGGGACAGACAATTTTGCCACCAGTCCACAGGGGAAATTCAATGGCGTACACATTTTAGGCAATATAAAAATATCCTAGTCCTCTAAGTAATCAACCATATACATTGTTTAGTAAATATAATTTTTTATTACACCCTGCTAATTGACATTACAGATTTATTAGGAAGGAGAAAATAAAATCACACAAATATCAACATAGTAACATAGATTTGCATGGGACCCTTATGCTCGTGGGACCCAGAACCCGTCCCTCCCCAGCCATGTGTTAAGGCTGCCCAGAAATAACGACCGCAAGGTTTTCCTTTTACTTGATATTTCAGGTAGAAAGTTTTCTTCTTCACTTTTGGCAAGGTATGCCAGATCACCTTGTTAGTCTATTAGATACGTCAATAATCTCTGACGTCATCGCTTTATGTGACTCTATTTTATACAAGGTAAGATCTCATTGGTCAACTTTATAATCGCGACGTCAGAACTACGTACAGTGGTTTGGTCTATTACAAGGCAGCTACCTGTATTTGATGGTGAAACACAATATTGAAAAATAGTTTTGATCGAATTAATGAGTGACAATGTCTTATGACAATTGAATTATCTAACTAGAATTAAAATGCACCATGCAGTTTGGTAGGGAAAGAGTCTTTGGGTATGGTAGGCTTTGATGGCCCTCAAGAAATTTATTTTCGCACATAGTTTTATGGATCGCTTTTAGTTTTGAATTTACGTAGTTTTTGATTAACATCGAATTGATAAGCAGAGCAGTCTCTGCATATGATATACTCAAGAAAGCAACATTTACAGCGAGTTTTCTAATAATTTATTGGGAAAAGATCGGACCCAGGTTTCGGATTTGAAGGGGTGTAATGGAATGAAAACGTCATAGTGTATATAGTTTATATTTTAGGTTTTAATCGATGTTCTTATTCCATCAACAATACAAGATATGCCAGAAAGGTAAACTATCGTCCATTTTATACAATATATTATTATTATTGATCAGATGTAACAGTGTATTTATTATAGTATCTATTGATCAGGTTTAATTGTTTAATTATATTATTTATTTATTTCAGTCTAGGAACTGAAATAGAAAGTTTCATCAGACATTTACCAATGTGGTTGGAAATCTCTCTAGAAGATACGCCATGTCACATTCAAACAGTTAAATTACAAGGTACGTATAGCAGTCGGTAATCATCGGTTATTTCCGTAATATGATAGAAATCTCTCTAGAACATACGCCATGTCACATACAAACAGTTAAATTACAAGGTACGTATAGCAGTCGGTAATCATCGGTTATTTCCGTAATATGATAGAAATCTCTCTAGAACATACGCCATGTCACATTCAAACAGTTAAATTACAAGGTACGTATAGCAGTCGGTAATCATCGGTTATTTCCGTAATATGATAGAAATCTCTCTAGAACATACGCCATGTCACATACAAACAGTTAAATTACAAGGTACGTATAGCAGTCGGTAATCATCGGTTATTTCCGTAATATGATAGAAATCTCTCTAGAAGATACGCCATGTCACATTCAAATAGTTAAATTGCAAGGTGCGTATAGCAGTCGGTAATCATCGGTTATTTCCGTAATATGATAGAAATCTCTCTAGAAGATACGCCATGTCACATTCAAATAGTTAAATTGCAAGGTGCGTATAGCAGTCGGTAATCATCGGTTATTTCCGTAACATGGTAGAAATTTCTCTAGAAACCGTTGAATTACACGGTAGGTATAAATAGCAGTCAGTAACAATCGGTTATTTACGTAATGTGATGAATATACCACGGATTTATTGGAACGAAAGGGGTAAACTTTATTACATTCAGCTACGGTTTAAAAAATCAGGTTAGATTTTAGTCCACAAGAAACGAAGTGACACCAATACGGATCTTGAGACCACGGGACCTATTTGAACCGAGACCTGACAGGAAACTCCCAAGTTTTATTTATGACAAGGCAAAGGGCAATTTGTGATCTTGAAAATAGTCCTGCGATATTTCATTACGACTGTTTATATATCATCCAAAACATAGTTTGTTTTTGATTTCTGGACAACGACTAGTAATTACTTCCCCTGATCTTATGTAGTGCCTCTATTTATAGTACGCTCCTCCCTTCCCTTTCATTTCATTTGTCGTTGGTGTTTTACTGTAAAATTGAAGAAAAATGTTCGAATGGACAATTTCCACTAGGTTTTGATGAATATTTGTGATCAGGCAGAAAGCAGACATGATTTACGAAAATCGCATATTAAAATGACGTCGCCGCCTATAAATTCCTTTGACCATTCTTAGCGAAAAGTCGGAACGATCAACCGCTTTCAATATTAGTATCACGTGATTGTCATTTATCGGGCAATTTGTGGTTATGAATTTAACATTGAATTACTAGTCTGAATCCTAATGGTAAAACCCGATTACCTCCCTTTTCCTATGATATTCAAATCCTTTTCATTCGTCGCCCCTAACGCTTGACAATTAGCTTGTAGTCCGAAATACTCGGTTCTGGTTTTCAGCGATCTTTTTGTTTTTCAAAGTACTGACAGATTTTTTAAGCATTTAAATACCATGCCTTCATTCTCACAAATTCTTGATACTGTCGGCTATATCTCCAAATTGTTGTGAATATATTCTTATATTTATTTTGTAGTGTCTAGAAGTTTTATACAGAGTGTAAAACGTCAGTTATCATTTGTTCATTTGGCACAGGTAGGTTAGATTAGGTACAATACATTTACGGATCTAGATGAAGAGAGTTCCTAGGGTATGCCCCCCCCCCCAACCCATTATGCCCCCCCACCCATTATCCCCCCACCCTCACTACTAAGGGTAGATTAAAGTATGTTTTATTAAACACAACTGAACCAACCTGGAGATAATCACGGATGTTAAAGACTTATAACAGTGTTAAAAGGTCATAGACTTTAGCCTGCTAAGTCTATAGTTAAATCTAGATGTTGAGACCCTAGTCGTCAGCCTACCAAGTGTTCAGCCTATCCAGCACTTGTTTCATTTAACACAGACATATGTGACCATATAAGGTCATTACTCTCTACCCCGTTTATAAACAAAGATTATAGTGTACACTTGTATTAAATGGGTGTATTTTTATATTAAAGACAGCTCGAAGTGTTTTAACCAACCTAGAAACTATCACCAACATGGTGGACGATCTTACAGACGTCGATTTAAAGGAGATTTCAGATCAAGCTGCTTTTGTCCAACCAGCAGATGACAAACAGAGGGAAGTTATCTTTGATTGTAAGTGCTAAGCTATTCCTAAATTACAGACTGAGTTTGCACGTTAAGCTGTTGATTCCAATGTAATCCCCCCTACTCAATGTCCAGTTAACATCGCCATTCAGATCAAAACTAGGCATAACATAAAGTTTGTATTTATATGAAAGTATGATCCGTAAAGTCGTTATTAAATAATAGAGAAGTAGTTATATCTATATATACCATGTGTTATTGAATAACAGAGAAGTAGTTATATATCTATATATACCATGTGTTAGTCAATAACAGAGAAGTAGTTAAAGTGTGGCACGACGATGAGTGCATACGTTATGTAGTGTCTAATGAAGATGAGTATATGAGTATATACGCCATGTAATGTGCCATTAAGACGAGTATATACGTCATGTAGTGTGTTATGAAGAAACTGTTGTTTGTACAGTGGTTCTACGACCTACTCATCATATACAATCAATGTTAACGTCCTGCTCACTGAGACACCACGGCTTCCAATCAAAATAGAAGATTGTGTGTTTACTTTATTATCATATATTTCCATTTCAGCATTTGAAGAATTTCAAAATTTACTCAACAAACAGGCTACTGTGGAAAGTTTTACAGAATGGATGGATGAATTAATAGAACGATGTGTTCTCCAGGTGGGGTTATTCGAGCGAAATAAAATTAGGCTGTCGCGCCAACTGTCCTGGTAAAAGTTATCTCTTAGCACATTAAGTGACGTATACCCGTCTTCATTATCCTCGTGTGTTACCCCCTTTCCCCATTGGCTAACCTGGAGATTCGATCCCTTCCTTTGGCGTTGTTTTCCCTTGTCAGTGGTGCAGCACAGAGAGCCTGGCAAATAACGTATAGTCGTTCGGTGGGACGAAAAACCGAGATTCCGTGTACACTCGTCACTTCAGTCAGTTATATAGAGGGATAACTCGTGTTTTCCTTTTGCGTTCGTCACTTCCGATTGTTGAAGCATTGATTACGCATCTATCGTAGCAATGATCTCTGTGTTAAAATTATATTTGGAACGTGTTTAACCAGTTCTATCACATATGTGATAATGACTGACATCAATATTGTCCTTTAAACATATTTTCATTGTTTACATATTACGGATAGGTGTCCGCTTGGTATCATAATCCGACTCAAATCGACGCAGATGCAACACACGTTCAATTAGAATATAGATGTATTTTAATCAAACTTCCGGTTCTTTGACTATCTTTATTTATATTGAAACTAGGCAACCTAACATCGCCATACAGCAAACATTTAGCTTAGTTTTACAGTGGCACATTACTGCTATAATAGCCTTGTTTTACAGTGACGATATTCAATATACAGGTTAACACAGAGCTCATTACTGCTATAATAGAAATATAAAATATAAAAAATGTTGACGGTTTCCTATCTCACGGCTATTTATTGAAAATCGATTTGTACTGAAAAGGATCAAATTAAAATTTCATCTAACCAACGCTTCATTAACTCACATTAATTTGAAAACATTCAATACACCGGAAATTACTTAACAATTTTTGGATATATTTTTATATACAAATTCTATTTTTTGCAGTTTCCTACAAAACAAAATGGCGGCTTCCATGAGAGCAAAGCAGCTGACTTCCTGTTACAATGGTCGCTGATTGGTTCGTTAATAATGAGAGATTTAACTTTACACAGCGCTTCTAGCTTTGGTAAATATTGGATGGGATCTGAAAAACTCTGAATACGTCACATCCTGTAATAGATATTGACTCTAGCACAGGTCTATAATTGATTCCTGTTTTTGTTCAATGTTGGTTCAAAACATTTAAAAGTCTTACTATTTAACTGAATTGCAATTAATAAAAACACATATAAAACCATAGAAATATCATGAAATATTTCAGGATATAAATAAACTCTTTCTCGTAGATAAACTGAAATCACATTCTAATAATAGACATTTGTTCTTCTAACGACTTTGTTTAGGAAAATGTAACTTTGGTGGCTTCTCACACATTTTGGATAAATATTTGTGCGAAAATACTCATTCTCAAATGTTAAAAAAATATATATATCGTTCCAGTAAGCACTTACGTTGATACCACAATATCCATTGAAGGGTTAGAGAAATGTAGCGAGGGAGCACGGGGTAAGACAGACATTATTTCCAATGACAGTGTTAAATTAAAATTTATATTTAATTTCAATGAAAAGTTTATTGCATCTGTTTTCATATTTAAAACGTTTCACAGCACGTGAGTATTGTTCAGTTTTGTGGTGGTGGAGGACATATTTCTCAAAACGTGAGTCTTGTACTGGGCCCGATTGTTTAGGGGTGTATGATTTTTAAGCCGATGGACGACTCTGGTTATTTATTGTGTTTTGTTTTATTTCTAGGATCCATCTATTACACGTGATGTTTTATTTTTAGCATCCTTCAGGTCATGTTTTAAATCTAGCATCCTTCAGGTGATGTTTTATTTCTAGCATCCTTCAGGTGATGTTTCATTTCTAGGATCCAGCCATCTATTACACGTGATGTTTTATTTCTAGGATCCTTCAGGTGATGTTTTATTTCTAGGATCCATCCATCTATTACACGTGATGTTTTATTTCTAGGATCCTTCCATCTATTACACGTGATGTTTTATTTCTAGGATCCGTCCATCTATTACACGAGATGTTTTATTTCTAGCATCCTTCAGGTGATGTTTTATTTCTAGCATCCTTCAGGTGATGTTTTATTTCTAGGATCCTTCCATCTATTACACGTGATGTTTTATTTCTAGGATCCTTCCATCTATTACACGAGATGTTTTATTTCTAGGATCATTCCATCTATTACACGTGATGTTTTATTTCTAGCATCCTTCCATCTATTAGGTCGTCCATCTATTACACGAGATGTTTTATTTCTAGGATCCATCTATTACACGTGATGTTTTATTTCTAGCATCCTTCAGGTGATGTTTCATTTCTAGGATCCAGCCATCTATTAGACGTGATGTTTTATTTCTAGGATCCTTCAGGTGATGTTTTATTTCTAGGATCCATCCATCTATTACACGTGATGTTTTATTTCTAGCATCCTTCCATCTATTACACGAGATGTTTTATTTCTAGCATCCTTCAGGTGATGTTTTATTTCTAGGATCTATTATTTCTAGGATCTATTACACGTGATGTTTTATTTCTAGGATCCTTCAGGTGATGTTTTATTTCTAGGATCCATCCATCTATTACACGTGATGTTTTATTTCTAGGATCCTTCCATCTATTACACGTGATGTTTTATTTCTAGGATCCGTCCATCTATTACACGAGATGTTTTATTTCTAGCATCCTTCAGGTGATGTTTTATTTCTAGCATCCTTCAGGTGATGTTTTATTTCTAGGATCATTCCATCCATTACACGAGATGTTTTATTTCTAGCATCCATCCATCTATTACACGTGATGTTTTATTTCTAGCATCCTTCCATCTATTACACGAGATGTTTTATTTCTAGCATCCTTCCATCTATTACACGTGATGCTTTATTTCTAGCATCCTTCAGGTCATGTTTTATTTCTAGGATCATTCCATCTATTACACGTGATGTTTTATTTCTAGGATCCATCTATTACACGTGATGTTTTATTTCTAGCATCCTTCAGGTGATGTTTTATTTCTAGGATCATTCCATCTATTACACGTGATGTTTTATTTCTAGGATCCTTCCATCTATTACACGAGATGTTTTATTTCTAGGATCATTCCATCTATTACACGTGATGTTTTATTTCTAGCATCCTTCGGGTGATGTTTTATTTCTGGGATCCGTCCATCTATTACACGAGATGTTTTATTTCTAGGATCCATCTATTACACGTGATGTTTTATTTCTAGCATCCTTCCATCTATTACACGTGATGTTTTATTTCTAGCATCCTTCAGGTCGTCCATCTATTACACGAGATGTTTTATTTCTAGGATCCATCTATTACACGTGATGTTTTATTTCTAGCATCCTTCAGGTGATGTTTTATTTCTAGGATCCGTCCATCTATTACACGAGATGTTTTATTTCTAGCATCCTTCAGGTGATGTTTTATTTCTAGGATCATTCCATCTATTACACGTGATGTTTTATTTCTAGGATCATTCCATCTATTACACGAGATGTTTTATTTCTAGGATCATTCCATCTATTACACGAGATGTTTTATTTCTAGGATCCTTCAGGTGATGTTTTATTTCTAGCATCCTTCCATCTATTACACGTGATGTTTTATTTCTAGGATCATTCCATCTATTACACGAGATGTTTTATTTCTAGGATCATTCCATCTATTACACATGATGATGGACGAGTACACGTTCCTGGTTCTAGAAACACAGAATGAACTGATCCGAGAACACACTCTACAAACCAACTTACAGAAACACATGAAAACAACCGGTATGTTTACTTACTTCATCACACACATGAAAACAACAGGTAGTTTACTCACTTCATCTCACACAATTTGACATTTATATATATTCAAAATGGAGACATATTGCCAGGACTTTTACTTGCCGATAAAATGTCATCTAAACCTTTCCATATTTATCTGAAAGATGACAAATCTATAATAAAGTGTAAGAATATTGACAAATCGGTATGTATTATTACTAATATTGACAAATCTGTATGTACTATTACTAATATCATGATAAATCTATATGTATTATTACTAATATCTATATGTATTCTGAAGTTTATTATTATATGCAAACACCTTTAAACTTTCTAAAATATAAAATATTCCCGATTGCTATTGATTTATTACTTATAGCATGACAGGTCTATTGGTATTATTAATAATATCTATATGTATTGTGAAGTTCATTATTATAGCCACGTCTCTTTAAACTTTCTATAATATAAAATATTCCCGATTGCTATTGATTTATTGACATCTACTGTCAATTTCAGTCTAATATGCTGTTCCTGACAACCAGAGTAGATTAATTGTTTAAATTGAATTGCGTACAATGATTAAACGACATATGAATTGTTAGCTTTGCATGAAGGTTTGGTGGATGCTAGATGTTCCTTCTGAATGCAATACATGCCCCATTTTATTCTTCTATTGCTTATTTTTCTAACAATATAACAATTGTGTCGAATTATCAGTTAAAAGTGTCACAATGTATATATGTGTATTCCAAACTGTGTTAATAATTAAACACATTTGAGAAGCAAATTTAATATTACAATAGTAGCAAACGAGACATACATTTAAATTCCAACAATCATGTAAATGGGAGAAATTGAATTAAAATAAGTACAAACCTGTCAAATCGCCACACGATTATGCAATTTGGGTTCTGGAGTGTCTTTGATATCACAGTTTACGAGACATCAAACTTGGGTCCATTCCACCACTCTATGAATATCATAAAATCTATGTTAGTCATACAGTCGTCTGAAATAGAGTGTGGTTTACGAGACATTAGACTTGGGGTCCATTCCACCCTCTATGAATATCATCAAATCTATGTTAGTCATACAGTCGTCTGTAATAGAGTGTGGTTAACGAGACATTAGACTTGGGGTCCATTCCACCCTCTATGAATATCATCAAATCTATGTTAGTCATACAGTCGTCTGTAATAGAGTGTGGTTTACGAGACATTAGACTTGGGGTTCATTCTGATTATAATACAATACAATACATGTTCATTCCACCCTCAATGATTATAATACAATACATGTTCATTCCACCCTCAATGAATATCATCAAATATATTCCTACTTTGTTTTACAGAAACAATCAAGATGGTTTCCAGGGTTAGGGCGGGTAGCCAATCAAATTCTTCACCTAAAGTTAAAAAGAGAAAGATGGATACACGAGGTATGTTTCTGATCAATATACAAATATAAAATACTGAACCATCCACACCATAGTGACGTCACTGAGATGTATATGTAAGCACGTTAAATGGCGTCAAGTGGTGGCATAGAGAAGCTCTGGTTTCAACATGCAACAGGAAAAGGGAGAAATAAAGAATAGCGCGCAATGACACAGCAGAAAATCTCCCAGTGCACGCGCTTTCCAGGCAGTGTTACAACAAGGACAGGGTTTACGTAATACAGTATTTGCTTTTCTCAAGGTGCTGGCATTCCACGCTCCGCCATTGGCTGAAAGCATACCATGTTTTGCTCACAACACGCATCATAACTATGTACCAACGTGGCAGAAGTAAATTTAAAAACAAACAAAAAATACATTTCCTTCTTTGTTTCAGTCCCTAATGATGTGAATTCCTCTGCAGAACTGCCTAAAGACTGTGAATCACATGAAGACACCGGTACATCCGACCAGGGCATGTTTATTCGTCCTATACCGTTACCAAGCCATAGAGATGTACCTTATTGTTATTCTACAAATTATTATTCTCCAAGACATTATCAAAGTTTTAATAATGGTGTCTTTGAGAGACCTTACCTGCCCCAGTTTGGTGTCAGCCATACTTACTCTGATTACATAAACAATAGTTCCTCTTTCTCATCTCAAAGATTATCGTCTGCTTATCATCAAGAACCTCATTCTTACCACGGACAAAATTACACGTCATATCCTGCCCTAGCGAGAAGCATATCGCCCGTGACGTCATCATATTGGCCACCGACTGATAGCAGACCATTTCCGGTTCCGGTAGTACCGGAGTCAATAAATGAGTATAGTTATGGAAGCGGCCATGATGGATATAAGAAATCGAGTTATACCAGAAGTGGAATATATCCCGAGTCAGGTAATTAGATAAATATTAAAATATTTATAGATATGGTTACGTTCTTTAGTCAAAATTAAATGTCTTTTTTGCTGAAGAATTAACTGTACTGTTGTTTATTCCCTGCCTCCACCGAGATCTTCTCAGTAGAACA